TAATTCTTTTTTAGCATTTATATATATGAGATTTCAAAATATTATCATTATATTCATTTATGTAATTTTGAATCAAACACTGCAGTTTATTATTTATTTCATTTTAAGCACAATATATATTAAGCTATACATAATTTAACTATAATATATTTACATATCTAAGAATATATTTACATATCTTTTTGTCAAAAAATATATTTACATATCTAAATACAATAACCAACCGAAATGAAAATAAGAAAATTAATCAAATTTTTTTAATATTTAGAATACCAAATATTATAGCTGAATTCGAAAAATAGATATTATCAAATATACCGAATTGATAACCAAACCGACTATTGATCCAAAAAGTAACTAAATCAAAAATAATATATCCAAAGTCATATGTATAATTAGAATAATATAATATTTATTAATATAAATTATACATATGAATTGATTCAAAACTAAAATTAAATATCAATCAATTATTATAAAAATTTACTTTTATGCATATTCATATCCGTGCATGAGCACGGGAATATCACCTAGTTTATGACTAATTAACTACTAATGCATTTACTACACCTTTACGACCACATTATTTACGTCTACTGTACGACTAACTAATTGGTCGTAATGTTACGACCACAGTACGACTAACTCCTGTTATCGTACTTTACGACCAATTTACAACCATTAATGTATTACGACTAGCGTCTAACGACCAATCACACTTCGTCGTTACTTAGTTGTAATAGCCCTATTACGAATAACTAACAACGAATTGTGTGGTCGCTATAGACTCGTTTTCTTGTAGTGTTACTCGTTTCACAACAACACGAAATGGACCTTGGTTTATGATTGGTGACTTTAATGAAATAACTTGTCATGAAGAAAAGGAATGAGGCAGGCAACGCACGGATAGCTCTTTCTTGCCTTTTAAGCAAATGCTCAGTGACTGCGGCATGTTAAATTTCCCTTTTACAAAGAACATGCTTTCCTGGGTAGGAAGACGAGCAGGAAATGCTACTGTTAGATGTCGTCTTGACAAGGTGGTGGGTAATGAGAATTGGCTTGAGAAATTTCCTTCCAAAGTGCAATATCTGAGGCTTTGGGGTTCGGATCATCGTCCAATCCTAGCAGATGTTCTTAAAAAGAAGCCACGAAGATCAGAAAAAATTAAATTTGATAAGCGTTGGCTTCAGAATGAGGAACTCAGACAGATTACACTTGAAGGATGAAAATCACCAGACCTCCCACCGGATTGGCGAGCGTTATGTCATTGGAAAAGGCAGCACAATTTGAATTCTGAGAAAAGTGTTGAGAAGCTAAAGGAAAAGGTGGACCGTTTATCCTCCAATGATGATGCCACTACATAATAGATAGCAGCAGCTTTAAAAGAATTGTCTGACGCCCTTAAGGCGGAGGAATTGTTCTGGAAGCAGAAGTGTAGAGTTTTTTGGTTAAGGGAGGGAGATCGGAACACCAAATTTTTCCACACTCTCACAAAACAGCGGAGAGCGAGAAACAGGATAACCCAATTATTGGATTCAGATGGGAATGTTGTGGAGGATGAGGAAGGCCTAGTAGCCATTGCTACTAGCTATTTTAGACAAATTTTTTAATCATCAAACCATGAGGAGATAGAGGATGCACTTTCAGAAGTTACCACTACAATTACGCCAGCAGATAATGAGGGTCTAACAGCTCCGGTTTCAGAATGGGAAGTTAAGCTAGCACTTTTTGCTATGCACCCTGAGAAGGCTCCTGGGCCCGATGGCATGACAGCGTTATTCTATCAAAATTTTTGGGATATCGTAAAGGATGATCTAAGTCTTATGGTTAATCAATTCCTATTCCAAGGGACTCTACCGGCTGGTCTAAACGATACTAATATATGCCTTATCCCAAAAGTAGATAAGCCAAATCAGATGAGCCAACTGCGACCCATTAGTCTTTGTAATGTTAGTTACAAGATTATTTCCAAGGTCTTATGCCAAAGACAAAAAAAGTCCTCCCAAATAGGATTTCTGAAACCCAGTCAGCCTTTGTTGCTGGGAGACAGATATCAGACAACATAATGATAGCCCAGGAATTGTTCCATGCCTTACGAACAAAACCAAGTGGACGTACTAAGAGGATGGCTATCAAAACAGATATGAGCAAGGCATATGATAGAATGGAATGGTCCTTTCATTGAGGCCACCATGAGAAATATGGGATTCTCAAAAGTATGGATTACCTGGATCATGCGATGCGTAACATCAGTAAAGTACAAGGTTCTTATGAATGGACAGCCAAGAGGGAATATTAGAGAGGTCTACGATAGGGGGATCCTCTGTCCCCTTTCATTTTTATTCTATGCACGGAAGCGTTCGTTAACCTTCTTAATCACGCAGAGAATCAGGGAAAGATAACGGGGATGTGCATTACGCGTGCATGTCCTTCGGTATCCCACCTACTCTTTTTTGATGATAGCCTTTTCTTTTGTAAGGCGGAGCCCCGTGAATGTGAAGAAGTAATGAAAGTGGTTAGGATATATGGACAGGCGTCTAGACAATGTATTAATTTTGACAAGTCAGCTCTACTCTTTGGTAAGAGAATCGGACAAGAGGCCAAGCAGGAGATCAAAGATACACTTGGGATACAAAGTGAAGCAGGGATGGAGACGTATCTAGGGATACCAGAGGATATTAGTGGCTCCTAATGTAAGCTTTTTGCATTCTTAAAAGACAAGCTCAGGAACAGAGTAAATGGATGGACGGGCAGGTGGTTATCAAAAGGAGGAAAGGAAGTAATGATAAAGTCAATACTGCTAGCCCTCCCAACCTATGTTATGTCTTGCTTTCTGCTCCCATTGGAGATTTGTGATGCCTTTTCTAGTGCCATTGCACAGTTTTGGTGGATCTCAAACCCACCAAAGAAAGGCTTACACTGGGCAACATGGGATAAGTTATGTTTACCCAAGGAGGAAGGGAGAATTGGCCTCAAGATGATCCATGAGTTTAACCTGGCGTTGCTAGCTAAGCAGTTATGGCGCCTGGCTCAAAATACAGACTCCCTGGTAGCTCGGGTTATGAGAGGTCGATACTATCGAGCAAGTTCGCCTTTGCGAAAGCTCACAGTTAGTAGCCCATCCTATGTGTGGACAAGCATCTCGGCTGCACGAGAACTATTGCTGATGGGGGTCAGACATAAAATACATTCAGGCTATAAAGTGAAAGAATGGGAGGACCCTTGGATTCCCACAATCCCAGCGAGGCCTGCGCATGCATCGGCTCCGGTTTTGCACCCGAACATGAGAGTGAGTGATCTTATTGACCAAGAAACAAAGTCTTGGGATCTGGAGCGGCTGGCGAATCATGTTGATGCTGCTGGCATACCTCTCATAAGGAGTATGGCTATTAGCTCAACACACCGCAGGGACACACACTGCTGGAGCTACACAAGGAGTGGACAGTACACAGTCAAGTCCGGCTATTGGGTTGCTCGAAACATATTGATGAAGGAGGAGGATGATATAGTGGGAGGAGCATTAAAAACTCCAAGAACAAGTCTGGAAGGTCAAAGCACTCCGGAAGATGTGCCATCTTATGTGACAGATTATAACAGGTCATATGGCGGTTACGAGTGCTTTGAATCATAGACATGTGAGATGTGATAACTTTTACCCACGATGCGGAGAACCGGAAGAAACAATTGCACATGCAATTTTTCAATGTCCGCCGGCATTACAAGTATGGGCCTTAGCATCTATACCGACCAGCTCAACTTTATTTCCTCTAGACAGCACTTATGTGAATATGGATTACCTATTCTGGAGGAAGAAGACCATAAGTGAGTCTAAATTAGGCAGGGACCCTTATCCTTGGTTAATATGGTATATCTAGAAGGCTCGGAACGATAAGTTATTCAGAGGAATCGATAGAGACCCTCTGGAACTAGCCCGGTATGCGGAGAGTGAGTGTCTTGCCTGGTTCCAAGCCAATGATCAGGAAAATGTGACATTACTTGACAGTAGTGATGCTGAACGTCAGGTCATAAGCCTGTGAGATATATGCATGATAGACGGTTCTTGGACCTCTACAGATCAATTCTCAGGTTGTGGTTGGGATTGGAAGGACAGCATGGGAAATAGTCAGTTGATGGGCTTGCGCAATGTTAGTAGGGTGGAGTCGGCTTTGTATTCTGAGCTGGAAACACTACAGTGGGCAATGGAGAACATGCTTCAACATTTGTCATGCCAGAGCTTTGGGACGGACTGCAAGGAGTTGATAGCGATGATCACGAACCCCCATGGATGGCCAAGTTTTTCGACGGAATTGGAGAGACTCTTGACGTTGAGGATTTGTCTCCCAGACTTCAAGATTGTTTATGTACCTAGGTCTCAGAATGATGTGTCTAATCATTTATCTAAGACTGCCCGATCTTTTTATCGGGAGCTGATGTATGTTGGTTGTTCTATTTCGGTCTGGATTCCCAGACCACCTCAAGCTTGAGCAATAGATCAACTTTTCGTTGTCAAAAAAAAAAAAAAAAATTTATTTTAAATTTTCATATTTAAGTTATACTCCTGCTATTTCAAAATGATCAATGTGTTCAAAAAATTATTTAAAAATATATTTTTACATTTAATGCATTTATTAGGTTATAATTGTAAATTGTAAGCTTTGAGTAAATTAATTGTAATCATTGAATTTTGATAGCCTAAAAATTTAAAAAATAAGTTAATTACAAAATAATGTATTTATCATATTTAATTGATTTTAGTATGTAGTAAAATTTTAAAACATAAATCTCTTGAATATTAATTATATTGACAAATAAACGGTGTGTAACGCGGTAAAATCTCTAGTATATTATAAAAATTACTTTTATTGTTTAGACTAAACCATCAAATATAAAATTTAAAATGCAAACTTCGTTATTTAAAATGCTATTTTCCGCGTAGCAAAAAACATAGATTTCAGGTTAAGAAATCATCACTTGGGAGTTATAAAATGAAAACAAAACACAAATTGGTAAAGTTACCAACCTTTAAGACATCGCTGCAGTAGCTGTAAACTTCGGCTTCGATTTCAATCAACAGAGAGTTTGTGAAATCCAATGGGCAATCATTTTCTCACGTTGTCTCTCCTCCTCGTGATTGTCTGCGTTTGCGTTTCCATCATCACCACTAAGCTAAACCCTAAAGAAGCAATCATGTCTCCCTCCGATTCAAATCCCATCGAAATTCACGGAGTCAAGATCCTGCGACAACCTTCCGATTCCAAACTTGCTCAACTCGGCGTCGCCTCTTGGCCCAAGTCGGTTCCTTTCTTTATACCCTTCTAATTAGTTATTATGTCTGAAAGACTGAAAGTTTGTGTTAAGTTACACACAAAAGAACCAATGAAGATACCTCTTTTACTCCTTTTGTTAGTTTGATTCTTAGAAATGCATTAGTGTTAAAAGTTGTGGATAATTGTGGTGAACTGAGCAGGTGGGAAGGTGGTCCAAGCAAGTTTCCATGGACGTTTAAGAAGACAGAGACAATGTATTTCGTGGAAGGGAAGATCAAAGTGAATGTGGATGGATACGACAGAGAGGAAGATGTCTTTGAGATAGGGAAAGGAGATGTGGTGATTTTCCCTAAAGACATGAAAGTTGTTTGGGAGATAATTGAAGCTGTCAAGAAACATTATAGCTTAGAGGATTAGTGTGAACTTTGTTCTGTACAAGATAACTTATGTCAAAGTCGTGTGAGTTTGTTGTGTGTATGGTTGCGTCTCTGAAACTAGCTTTATATATGGTGACGGACATGATGTTCTAAAAATTAACAATGTTTTTCAGATTTGAACCAGAAAACAAACCGGGAAAGACCCACCAAGTTTGTATCGGATAAGTTGTTTCCAGCGAATTCGTGAATACTTCCGCTACGTGTCAAATTCAGATTAACCAAGAACCACCATGTTTGTTTTCCTTTTGGGCTTTTTGGCTATGCATTTTGCTATCTACCAAGTAACTCTATCAATATTCATTATTTTCTAACAGAACTTCATAAACACGAAGTGGAGACCATTTAAGGACCTCCCCATACTCCTAAATTGTTGGTACACATGAGTAATTGAATATACTATAGAATTATCAAGAAAGTATATAAATTAGACAATACTTGTAGAATAAAGGTTTTCATTTTTCTTAGAAATTAAAGTATTTGTAGAATTTTTAAAGCAAAGACTGTGATTCTCTAGTTGTAAGAAAAGGCATTGTTTATCACACTTACTTCGCAAAATAACAACTACTCCCATAACCAAAACAAGAATAAGCCTATGCTCTAGTTTGTAACCAATATTGGAAGATCTCCCCATAGTACTTCTGACTTGCACCCTTACAATACTTAGCTTGTTCCTAACCCCTTTCTCAACCATCTTCTGCAACGCAACAATACCCATAGGTTTCTCCCCATGCCGAGTTCTGTTTCTTTCCCTCCATATGGCATAGACTGCAGCCTGGAAAGAATAACGCAAACAAAACAATTTGCTCCGATTTGACCCTCTCTTAGTTAGGAGCAAAATAACCTGCCAGACATTAGAGTAATCCCTCTTCAATATCCATGCAGTGAGATGTGCCCAAAGTTGAGAAGAGAAAGGACAAACGAAGAACAAATGGTCCCTCGACTCATTTGCATTATTGTACAACACACACGTAGTGTTAACATTCTGTCCCCAAACAGCAATCCTAACCATAGTTGAGACGCGATCCAACATTGCCAACCAAGTGATAAAAGCAAATTTTGGAGTGGCCATAGAAAACCAAACACCTCTGGACCAGGAGCAATTGCCATGAGACTCTCTGAGTAAAGACCAAGTCTCCGAAGTGGAGAAACTAGCTTTATATCCAGATTTCCCTCGCCACACACAAATATCATCCACACCAGAACAAATCTTACTCATAATTAACATCAACTCAGCCTCAATGTCATTTAAGATCACAGAACGGTGCTTCCTTCTCCTCCGAGACGAGATAGCTTCCTCCAAAGTAGCATCCTTCCTTACTCCCAAGTTAATAAAACCTCTATCCCCCAGAATATCAAACATCACACCTTTATCGGACCAGTTGTCAAACCAGAAAGAGATGTGACGACCATTACCCACCACTTTTTTAAAGAAGTTTTTCGCTATCCCTCTGAGCTTCAAAAGTTTAATCCACATCCATGAACCAATCTGAGTCGTCTCCTTAATCTCCCAGAAACTTCTTTTCTTAAGGAGATAAGTTTTTATCCACGCCCCCCAAAGTGAAACTCCAGAAAACAGCCTCCAAATAAGCTTCAAACCATATACCATATTGACTTCTTTAAGCGATCTAATACCCAATCCACCTTCACACTTAAGTTTATTGATATCACTCCAAGCCACTTTAGCACCCGAAGTCTTTAACGTAGGACCCGACCAGAGAAACGATGCACAAAGCTGCTCCAATTCCTTCATACATTTACTCGGGAGCCTAAAGGTAGCCGACCAGAAGTTAACAATGCTCAACAACTCAGATTGAATTAACTGCAACCGGCCCGCATAAGATAGAAACCTACAGGTCCAGGAACATATCCTACCTCTAACTCTCTCCACCAGAGGAAGATAATCCTGTCTTCTCATAACTTGAGTCATAAGAGGTAACCCCAAATATCGCACCGGTAGAGTGCCTTCAGCAAAAGGAAAATCCTTCAAGATATTACTTCGATCATCTCCTGAAACCCCAGCCATATACACTGTCGATTTCTCAATGCTGATACTTAGCCCCGACCATTGTGCAAAATCATCAAAAACACTTAAAGCTCCTCCAATAGATTCCTTTGTCCCTTCCACAAACACCATTGAATCATCTATAAAGCAGAGATGAGTAAGAGCGAGAGACTGACACCTGGGATGAAAATTGAACTTCTTCTCCTCCACAGCCTTATTAATCATGTGAGATAACACATTCATGCAAAGTACGAACAGATAAGGGGACAATGAGCATCCCTGCCTCAGACCTCTCTTACTTTGAAAAAACCCCCCAAGCTCACCGTTAACTTGTACAGAAAACGAAGGAGTAGATATGCACAGTTTAATCCAGTTGGTAAATTTGGCAGGAAATCCCAACGCTTCCAAACACTGCAAAACAAACTCCCACTGTACTGAGCCAAATGCCTTAGAGATGTCAAATTAGACATCTTGCAGAGATAGTCTCCTTGTGGTAATCCTTGACTAACTCAGAAGCTAAAAGGACATTCTCCAGCAATAACCTTGTTGGGGTCAAAATCGGTACGACGGAATCAATAGACAAAATTCTCCGCAAACACATAAACGCAACAGTTTTATGAATCTCGAGAATCATTTTATAAAACTCGAGAGATCGTTTTATAAAACTCGAAGATCGTTTTATAAAACTCGAGAAGCCGTTTTATAAAACTCGAAGATAGTTTTATAAAACTCGAGGATCGTTTTATAAAACTCGAGAAGCCGTTTTATAAGACTCGAAG